AGATGATTTAAGTCAGTCACTGCATGGTCACTTAGATATAATTTCAGCAACCAATGCAGAGGCTGCCAATCTTCAGCTGAAATTGTGTGTAGGTGATGATAGGAATAACATCAAGAAGGCTTCTATGTATAAAACCTATATTTGTTTAAAAATAAATTCAGCAAAAAAACAAACACCAAACAAAGCTTTCCTAAATACACCTTACGATTATCGGACGAAACTTTTCGTCCGATGATCGAATAGTCGTACGATTTCCGTACGGCAGCCCCATCCTGCCCCGATGATCGCAAGATTCATTTAGCCGTAATTAACGAAAAGCACCTGGACGAATTACAAAAAACGTGCTAAAAACAAGCTGAAAAAATGCGCCTATAGTACGCCCAGGTGTAAACCTAGCCTTATACATATTTTATTCATATATTTTTTTATACTGTATGTTTTCAGAGTTTGTGTTTATTTACTTTTACTATGCATAATTTAATTTAATATTTTTTATAAACTTTTTTAATTTTTTATATTTATTAATTCATTTTTTATTAAATATTTTTATTTTTTACTTTACTTTTAGGGGCTTCGGGGAAAGATTAGGGGTCTAAACAGATCCCTGATATTTCCCTTTTAAAATAGAAAAAGAGATTGAGAACACAAAGTCCTCAATCTCTTTTTCTGTGTCCCCTGTTATCAATGAACAGGAATCCTCTATGAGTGTTCCTGTTCATTGATAACATGAGAACATTGTTTGTTTACTATAACCACAATTATGAATGAATGGGGGTGATGTAGATCACTCCCATTCATTCATAATTGAGGATATAGTTAACATACCATGTCCTCAATTATGTACACACACTCAGCGATCACTGATCACTGAGTGTGTGTACATTGCTTTTCTCTCTGACACAATGCCACAGCAGGCTGATCGAGCGGTGTAGAGAGGAAAGCCAAGCCTACTGTGACAGCGCTGTCTCCGCCCCCACACCGCTCTGCTGGACTGTGACAGGCGGCTGAGCGGTGTGGGAGGAGAGACGCTGGCCGCTCACAGCGCTCTCGTCCTGCAGCGCTCGGCCGGCTGTCACTTTCTTTTCTCCCCGCTGGAACAGCGGGAAGAAAAGAAACGAAGGATGCGCCAATGTATCGGCCGCAACATGGCTCTTTCGGCATTATGCCAAAAGTGCCATTTCGCCCAATATGTTTCGGCGGCCGATATATATCGGTGCATCCCTAGTAAATATACATCATTCATATTGACAACCAAGTGGACATTGTGACATCAGCACAGGTTTTCAGGACACAAATAAAACTTTACCAATTGATCACACTTATTGCTTCAATTGCTCTTTAATAAGTTATAACATCTGGATGAGAGATTTGAGCAGATTTACCAAAGGTGTTAAGAACCTTCACATGATAAATTGTGTGAATATTTACTTCAATTAGCCAATCATGTGCAGATGAAATATGTAATCAGGAATTTCTTTTTCACACGATTGGATAATTGAAGTTAATACTCCCATCATTTATTGTGTGAACGTTCTCAACATGTTTTGTCTTTACATGGCAGCATGTAATTATCTCCAGTGAGATGATTGTGACTTACCTCTGCTACAGAGCAGATTGAACCCAAAGCTTCTCCACGAAACCCATATGTCTCCAAAGCCCCCAAGTCCTCATGGTTGGTAATTTTAGAGGTGTAGTGTTTGATGCCCATAACAGGAGCATCTGCAGCTTTAATTCCGTCCCCATTATCCTGGACCTCAATCTTGTCAAATCCAAAGTTGTCCTAAAATACAGAAGTTATGCTAAATAATATAAATTAGATCATGTAAGTATTCAATACCTCAGCAAGCTGCTACTTTACTGTTCAACCAGCAAGCTGGAGATGTGTTTTGTCCTAGAGCTATTGAAAAAAATAGGATTTTTGTTCTCACCGTAAAATCCTTTTCTCTCCGTTCATTGAAGGACACAGGGCAACAGATCGTAGATCCTGTATGGTAGGGTATATCGCCACCTGCAGGAGTAGGACGCTAGGCACATAACAAAAAGACAAAAGACAGCCTAGGGGCGGCCCCTGCTGGTGGCCAAAACCCCCACCCGCTGACAAGTCTCCAGTTAGTAACAAGCAGTTAGGAGTGCACCCCCATAAAAAGAGGGCGAGACCTGTGTCCTTCAATGAACGGAGAGAAAAGGATTTTACGGTGAGTACAAAAATCCTATTTTCTCTCCCGTTCATTGAAGGACACAGGGCAACAGATCGTAGATCCTGTATGGGACGTCACCAAGCAGTAACTCAATGAGGGATGGGCAAACACAAACAACCCAAGAAGCACCCAAAGAGACGCCTGCAAAACCTGCCGCCCCAAACCAGCATCCGCCGATGCTAAAACATCCACCTTGTAGAACTAGACAAAGGCGTGAACAGAAGGCCAGGCAGCGGCCTTGCAAACCTGAGAAACAGAAGCCCCATGGCGAAAAGCCCAGGAAGCTCTAACAGCCCTAGTAGAATGGGCAATGACAGGGAAAGGGGGCTCACGCCCCCCAACGGCATACGCCTGAACAACCACATCACAAATCCATCGGGAACGGTAGCCGCCGACGTGGCCCGGCCCCTACAAGGGCCCCCCGTGAGCACAAACAGGGAATCCGTCTCACGGAAAGAAGCAGTAGCTCCCAAATAGACACGAAGAGCACGCACCACATCCAGGCAATGTAGCGCCCTCCCCTTCCTGCGGACCGGGTGTGGGCACAAGGAAGGTAGAAAAATGTCTTCATACATATGAAAAGCCGACACGACCTAAGACAGGAAGGCCGGTCGAGGACAGAGAACAGCCTTGACCCCATGAAGGACCAGAAAAGGTGACTTGTAGGACAAGGCAGCCAATGCAAACACCCACCGAACGGAAGTGACGGCCACCAAAAAGGCCACTCTTTTGGGACAAGGACAAAAGCGGAATCTCCCGAATAGGCTCAAAAGGGGGATTCCTGCAGCACCGAAAGCACCAGGTTCAGATCCCACGGTGCCAAAGGCAAGCGGACAGGAGGAGCAATACGTGCAACCCCCTGAACAAAAAGGTGCGAACCAGAGCATTAGACGCCAAGGGCCGTTCGAAAAGCACAGTCAAGGCAGAATCAGCCCCTTCAACGTGCTCAATGCCAACCCTTGAGCCACACCGCATTGCAAAAAGGCAAGAATGTTGCTGATGGAAAACAATCGCAGAGACCAGGCCCCCGCCCCGCACCAGACAAAATAGGCCAGCCACGTGCGAAGGTAAATCCTCCCAGAGACTGCTTTGCATGCGCCAAGCATCGTGGAGATGACCACATCAGACAACCCTTGGTCCCCCAGGACCCGGCCCTCAACCGCCACGCGGTCAAAGCCAGCGACGATAAAGGATGGAACACAGGCCCCTTGGAGAGAAGGTCCGGACGCAGAGGCTGCCGCCAAGGAGCGGCCATCAACAGCACAACCACATCCGCGTACCACGCCCTCCGAGGCCAACCCGGAGCAACGAGGAAGTCTTCGGCCGCGATCCGTCGCAGAAGCCAAGGTAACAGGTAAAGTGGAGGGAAGGCGTAAATCGGACCGTAAGGCACCTAATGATCCACCAGGGCATCCCCCGGCAACACCCAGGGTTCCAGCCCCCGGGCCACGAACCTCTCCACCTCTCCGTTGAGAAGAGACGCCAGAAGGTCCACATCTGGTTTCCCCCAGCGAAGACAGAGTGGATGAAAAAACTCCCGGCGTAGGGACCACCCCCCGGGCCCATCGACTGGCGACTGAGGGAGTCGGCCTGCCAGGACAGGATCCCGGACACTTCTCGACATGCGGTCACGCTCATTGTGCCGCCCTGATGGTTGATGTACGCCATTGCGGTGGCGTCGTCGGACTGAACCTGAACCGCCAGACTGTGGAGACAGTGCGACCAACGAAGGGACCTGCGAAGCGCCCGAAGTTCCAACACATTGATCGGCCGGCGAGACTCGTCCAGCGGCCACCGACCCTGCACTGGCAGGGGGCCCCCAGCCCCACAGGCTGGCAGCCGTCGTGACCACCGTCCAGCACACTAGACGGAAGGACTCCCCGCGCACCAATGCTGGAGAGTGAAGCCACGACCACAGGGAGGCCGCGTTAACCGAATTTACCTGTCCAGCGACAGGGTGGACTTGACCCACAGCCCCAGAATATCCCACTGGAGGGTCCCGGTGTGGTGCAGAGCAGAAGGCACCGCCTCGAAGGAGGCCACCATGAGAGCCTGGACCTGCATACAGAAGCTAATGGACGACCACCAGCAAGTCCGCAACAGACGCACTTCAGAATGAAGTGTCAGTAGCTTGTCCGGAGGAAGAAAACCCCGGGCTGCGACCGTGGACAGGACTCGGCCCAGATACTCCAGGCGCGGCGAAGGCACCAGACAAGACTTCCGGAGATCCAGGATCCACCAGAACTACTCTAAGGAGCGCACCGTGACCTCCCGAGCCGACACAAGAGAGGAGTGCAACTCCGCAGAAGCAGATCATCCAAATACCCCACGATCGAGATTCCCCCGGCAACACAAGAGCGCCAGAACCAAGGCAAGCACCTCGGTGAACCCCTGCGGGGGCAGCGCGAGGCCGAAAGGCAGCGCCACAACTGGAAATGCTCTCCCCCCACCGCGAAACGAAGATATCGCTGAGGAGACACGCAATAGGCACAGGAAGGTAGGCCTCCTTGATGTAGATGGAGGCAAACAGGTCATATCACCACGGACCGAATTGATTCCATGCGTAAACGACAGACCCGCACAAAAGAGTGTGGGCGTTTGAGGCCCAGGATGGACCTAACCCTCTCTCACTTAGGCACAGTGAACAGATGTGAATAAAAGCCCTGCAACTGTTCCAAAAACGGAACCGGCACGACCACCCCCTGGGACAAGAGGCCCACCACTGCGCGATGAAGATCCGCCAGGCGTGGAGGGGAAAGGCCTGAGGTGGACGAGAAAAATCTGTGTACCGGACAGGGCAGAAAGTCGATCTTGTAGCCAGAGGAAACCAGCTCCCGAACCCAAGCGTCGGAGACGTGAGTCAGCCAAAAGTCCGCCAAGAGCCGATCCAGTCCAAGGTGGTGCCAAACAGGCAGTCCACAGCGAAGGGAAGCTCCGTTAGAATGTTTGTAGAAGCCTGGTCAGCCGACCAGCACGTAAGCCAGAACAAACGGCGAAGCGTAACCGCCACCAGGGTCGCCTCATCCAAGGCCGGGTTGCAGACCGACTCAAGCCCTGCACCAGCAGCTCCACCAAGTCCTCATAGGTGGGGGAAACATGCTCCTCCGCAAGACCCTGGTGCAACATCCCTGCCCACTCCGACAGGGTCTGAGAGACCAGGGCAGAAGCCAGGATGGGTCGCATCAGCGCACCCGACACAGAGTATAAGGCGTGTAAAAAGCGCCTCAGCCTTCCAACCGGTGGAATACTTAAAGGACGGTGATCCACCACCGGAATAAAGGTTGCAGTGTTCAAGCGGGAGACCGGTGGGCCACCCCAGGCGGGGAGGCCCAATTGGGCCAAAAGTCCTCCGCAACCGGCTAGCGAACCGAGAAACGTACTGGAACCGCAAAGAACTTGGTTGGGCGTTTCCACTCCTTATAGATAAATTCATCAAAAAAAGAAAAAAGGAATGTAGTGAAACACCTTGTCGGAGCGCTTGCTCTTATGCGTCCCGAACTGCATCGAGGACAGCGTAGAAGAGCCAGGAGACACCTCAATTTTAAGAAACACACGGACAGCGCGCACCCGTGCCGCACCAAGTTCACATCCCTGAACCATGAGCGCCGACGCAGACCCATCCTCACTGGCCAATTTCGACTGAGAGGAATCTCCCGGGTCCCGAAGAGGCGACGCGGAGGGAAGTTCCCCCTCCACCCCGGACTCTCCAGACATGGCCGGGAACGTCAACGGCAAAACACGTTTCGTAGGGGGCACTACGTCAGGGCGCGTTCAAAGCACGACCCAAACCCAGCCAGAGCAGAGGAAAAAAAAACCCCCCAAGGACAGCGCAGTACCGACCCCCTAGACGAACCTGAGGGGGGCCCCGGGCGACTGGCAAAGGAGCGCAGGCGCACAGAGAGGGGATCCAGAGGGGTCCGCAGAGCACAGCCCACAGCCCTCACAATGCAACCAGAAGGCCTGTCCTTGCGAGCCATGATCCCACTGGTACCAACAACCGCCCACCAGACGACCGCCACGGGCAACAGGGAGACCACTGCAGCACCCACGACCCCCGGCCCTATTTTCATCCGGCAAGGGCAGTGTCCGAACCACGGAAGAGGAGAGCTGCCCCCCCGTTTCCAGCTTCAGCGGCGCCACAGGCCAAAAGGAAGCTCACCCCCATCCATCTGGGGTTGAAAGGAGCCCTGGGAGGAGGTGACAGCGGAGAAAGGGCATTTTGCCCTGATCCAAGATGGCGGCCGCGGATCCGCCTGGAGGCCGCAAACGAGACCGGGGCCTCGAGTAGCGGCCGCGGCACGGACCGCGGCACCCCTGGGCTAAGTAGACAACAGGCCCAGGCGTGCAGGGAAGCAGCGAAAGGCGAGCGTCCCCGACCGCAGACGCGGCGCTGCCAGCCTGCAGGCAGTGTTGTGACAGGCGGGCCAGGACCCCCTGTCATATGCACCCCCCGGGACGAACCCGCAGGCACCCATAGGGACTACTAGTCGCAGCCGACCCACCGTGGCAGAGTCTGCATGCGCTCGACGGCCACCCAGGGGAGACAACAAGGATCCATCTCCATCCAGCATGTCACCCTGGTGACACTTGCTAGAAGAATCGCGAAAAAAAACAGAAGGAAAGAAATTTTCCAGAGAAAATTTTTTAGCTCCTTACTCCTGACGCTAGACAAAAAACTGGAGACTTGTCAGCAGGTGGAGGGTTTGGCCACCAGCAGGGGCCGCCCCTAGGCTGTCTTTTGTCTTTTTGTTATGTGCCTAGCGTCCTACTCCTGCAGGTGGCGATATACCCTACCATACAGGATCTACGATCTGTTGCCCTGTGTCCTTCAATGAACAGGAGAGAAACAGTGTTTTTTCTGCAGTAGAGGTCAAGGATCTCACTGTTCTCATACATGTCTTCCAATGGTGTATGTAGCTGCCGACTTGGACTGACACTGCTGGCCTTCTTAAAAGGAAGGCTGTCTGGCCAAGTGTGGCTTCAATACTCCTGAGAAACAATGAGTGAGCGTCAGAATTTGTTATCTCTAGGTTTGTTCTCATTAGAAACTCAGACAGCATTGAAGCCAACACATTACAGCCAGGGAATTAGCATTCTCAAAAGGAAAGGTCGTCAAAGGCAGCTCCCATTCTTTACTGTATGATAGAGGCACTTTAGGTCAAGAGTCAAAGAGAATACTGCGTATCCACAATTGTCTGTGAGGATGCCCATTGTTCTGACCAATAAAGAGGGGTGAAAGGCAGAAGAAAGGATTATTTTCAAGTTTCTTGGCTCAGGTCAGATTCTGCATAAATCTGGGAAGCTCAGGAAGAAAGAAAAAAGGGGTGTGGGCAGGCACTAGGTGCCTCCATTTCATTTTTAACACCAGCTACGCAGTATATGATAAAGTAGGGGTGGAACATTTACTATGAAATTCAGGAGCTAGCCTGCCTAATCCAGAAGCCAGCGGCATTTTATTTTAGGAGGCGAAGCAGCTTAAATTGAAAACCCCGGTTTCTTGTTTAGAAGAGTAACATAGGGGTCCTTCTGGAGCAGAGAGCCCATGTTGCCCTAGCTTTTTAAAGTAGGTCATAGAAGAAACATGGAAAATAATTTTAATAATTATGCCTACTTTTGTCATCGAAAAGCAAACCATAGTGGCATAGTTGTCACAATTGTATCCTTGCAGAGCTTAGGTTCTAGGTTCAGTTACCAAACACTGACCACAGTCTGCATGTTCTCTCTACGTCTGCATAGCTATTTTCCAAGTTACAAAAAATATCCTGATAGGGTAATTAACCCCTTCATGACTGAGGCCCTTTTTTCATTTTTTGCACCCATGTTATATTCCACATTTTAGGCCTGAAAATGACTTAAAACCCCCCAACATTATATATTTTCTGAATGCCAAGACCCTATAGAATAAAATGGTGGTAGTTGCAAATTTTTATGTTGCGCAATATTAGCGCAACTAACATTCATTAGTTAATCAAACATTTTTTTTATTTACTTAAATAGAGTTCATCCACTTCCTGGTCCACTTTGGCACAAATGATGTAATTGTGCCCAAACATTGCATCTTGGGAAGGTTACATCAGCAGTGCATTTGTGGTAAATCTCATGAGATCTCAGGGAATTACATTTTCCTCCCCTGAAATGATGTGCAAGGTCACATGTCTTAATCACATGTGCCAGAGTTCCAAGAAGTAAAGGGAGATCTAGAAAGTTGCCCTTAGTTAAAATGGCCACTGTTATTAGAATGTGAAAGGAAAGAGCAATAAGGTATGCCAAGAATAAAGAGTAAGAGCAATAAAGTATGTGTTTGTAGATTGTATAAAATATGTTGGTGTTACACTTGTAAATAAACAATACAAATTTTACCCCATTAGATAAAATCAGAAAAAGTTGGAATCCCCATCGTTTTTCTGTTACGTTGTTAGAATTAAACTTAATACGCATTATCCCGGGGGAATATAGCTACATTTTACCAAAACATAAAATATGTCCCTGCAAAAAGAAGTGAAAATCCCACAGTAACTAAATGGCTAGCTTGAGCTAACGTACCAAGTCTCCCTACATCTCATCATGAGGATGTATTATTATTTGTACAAGAATTTCAGCATACAGGTCATTCCGATTTTAACATGTAACAGGGGTGTAAAATGAAGAGAAAACTCTAAGGATTTTTACCTACTAAGAAAACAACACTTTATGCACAGAAGAAAAAAACAAATAAGTGTCTGTTCACTTGAGCATAAAGAATTGCCAAAAACAATAGTTGGGCACCAATAAGGTAAACAGAAAATGTGTTCTACTTGGATACATATAGAGGGTACGAACCAGTTTTATTTCAATGCTGTTAGCATTAGCATCCAAGGCATTCTCCACAAGCTCTTTAACCACACTGACCACAGCAGTAATCACTTGGGAGCTGGATAGTAATCGGATGGTTTCTGACGGCAAGTGGTGCATCTCAAACGAAGACTGCTGAGCAAATACAAACATGACAAAGTAAAACAAATATTCAATGGTTGACTAGATCAACTTTATAACTATAAAACTATTTTTACATAAAAAGACATAACTACCTGTATAAAAACCAAGATGGCCATGAAAGCGTCAAAGGCAGAGATAGCCCAAAAAGGACCCAACATAATGGCCAATAACACCATATTTCCCTGGAAGGATTTACACAAGAATAAGACACAATGGGGGGGGGGGGGGGGGAAAGAGCTCTGTGTTGTTTGATCTGTTTCAGTTTTGGTAAATTCCCCTCAATGTATGATCCTTATAGATTGTAAACTCTCAAGACCAAGGTCCTTCTAATCCATGTGTATGGTATTGGATGGATGGATGGTATTGTATTAGATGGAAGCTTTGAAAATGAGAGAGAAGCGAATTGGTTGCCATCGGCAAATGCTCTATGAGTTCTGTCTGCTCCAGTTTTGATAAATCCCCCTCAGTGTATGATCCTTATAGATTGTAAGCTCTCATGACCAAGGTCCTTCTAACCCATGTGTATGGTATTGTAATTGTACTGCCTACCCATATCTTGTAAAGTGCTGCACAAACTGTTGGCACTGTATACATCCTGTATAATAAGAATAATTTTGGTTAAAACAGACATATGTAAAAATTAGTTTGCAAAAAACAATTCCTTAATTTCCCCAGACCCCCAAACTTCTAACACTCTCTATAAGTAAACCTGTGGTTCTTCACCAGGGTATCTATACCCTTGGGGTATGGGACTGCAGCTTTGAAACAGCATTCTCTTTATTAGCGAACTTGAAATTGAAGTAGAAAAATTTAAATGTTAGATGACATGTGAGCAACACTGTCAAAAGCTGTACCTCGATTTTATGTATTGATTGCACAAAAACAACAGCAAAATCTCACTATCTGTAGCTGGATTGTGTATTTGTGAGTTGCTGTTTTTATATACAGTGGGGCAAAAAAGTATTTAGTCAGCCACCAATTGTGCAAGTTCTCCCACTTAAAATATGATAAAGTCCTTATCATTTCCCTTCAGCAGTTGTGTTTCTAGATATCCATATGTAAAGTAAAATCAAGCTAATTACATACTTTGTAGTCAAACTGGTACCTAATGGGACAAGTGATAATGGAAATTTTGACAGTCTGGTAAAAGCAGCATGGGGATATATTGGGCAATTTATTGGGGGGTCTGTCATCATAAGAGGTTATGAACCCCTGCTGCAAAACATGTTACATAGTTACATAGTATTTGAGGTTGAATAAAGACATTAGTCCATCAAGTCCAACCTATAGGATCTCATTTGTAGGAGTACTTGTACCCCTGTATATTACTGTCCCTTAAAAAATCGTCCAAAAGTTTCTTGAACAATTCCACGTTTTTTGCTGAAATCACTGCCTGTGGCAGTGAGTTCCAGACCTTAACCGCTCTAACTGTGAAGAACCACCTTCGCCCCTTGTGCTGGAATTTTTTTCCCACCAATTTTAGGTGGTGGCCTCTAGTTTTTGTAACGAGTTAATTTTAAATAGTTTATCGCCAATGTTGCTGTCACCATTGAACATTTTGTACATGGAGATCATATCCCCCCCTTAATCTCCTCACCTCCAATGTGAACATGTTTAAATTTAGTAGCCTTGTCTCGTAGCTCTTGTCCTCCAAAGTAAGGTTTAACATAAAACAAGTCACCAACTTGCGCCACTAGATCGATTGTTTATGTGTCGTATATTAATAGTCTTATACCAGTTATAAGAAATTTAAAAAAAATGTAAATCCCATCCCCCCCACGTGCACATACATACGCAAACACGCGATAGTACGCCTACGTGCAAAAACAAAAATTACCCTACATATTGCCATGAACGTCGCAGTGAGAGCAACCATTCTCAGGCCATCAATCACTGTTAACACTAAACTGATGAGCGGTAAAAGCTTTTAAAAATTGTGCCCTATGGGAAATTTCTTACCATTTGCACACACATAAATAAATAGTACAGCTCAAACCCCCCCAAACCATTATATATTTTCTGAAAGCAGAGGCCCTGTAGAATAAAAAAATGCTAGTTGCAATTTTTTATGTAGCACGGTATTTGCGCAAATGTTTATCAAACCAATATTTTTAGGATAAAAATATACTAAAATCAAGTTTAGGGCACAGAAACAGAATATAATAGACAATATTTTGGTAAAATATAAAAGATGGGGTCATGCCGGGTAAATAGATACCAAACATTCAAGCCTTAAAATTGCGCTTCCCTGTGAAGCTGCAAAAAACTTCAATACCCCAAATTTCCCGTAGGGCACAATATGTAATATGTGCCCTACGGGGATATGTATATGTAACATGTGTAGCGCAATTTTCGTTTTTGCACGTAGGCGCACCAACGTGTGTTGACGTATGTACTGTATTTTTTCCGTCTATAAGACACCCCCATGTATAGGACGCCCCCCACTTTTCTTACACAAAATTCAGAAATCAATATTTTCCATGCTCTTTTGTATAACTGATTACATCCAGTTTAAATTTTGCAGAGTAAGACAGCTTACTGATACCGGCATTTTTTTCGTTTTCTGACATTTTTATGGGCTCAGAATGCTCCGACATTACCGCCCTCTGTTGCATCTGGGCACTGGCTACAGGCTCTCCGCAGCATCAGCTGACATCGTGTACATAAGGCTCATGATTGGAGGAAACCTGTTAGCTTGTCTCTGCAATCGGAAGTTTCACTCGTGAGGCTAGTTTGCAGAGGTATCGGCAAGTTTCGCAACCGCGGTTCTCCTCTCGGCCCCCCGTGTATAAGACGCCCCTCCATTTTTAGGTAAATATTTTTAAGAAAAAGTAGTCTTATACACGGAACAATACGTTATGCGCATGCACGCGGCGGGCACTATAAAAAAATTGGGGGGCATTTTTAAAATTTTCTTATATGTTACTTTCATTTTTCAAACATTTTGCATTGTTTACACTAACCTTAATGCTATCACATAGGGGGCTAACAAGCCACCCTATGTAATATCAGATAGGATGTGATAGGACCCCAAAGAAGCAGATATCTGCTTCCCTAGCTTCTTCTCCTGGCTCTAAGAGCCAGAGAATGTACACAGTGACACCGGAAGTCATGAAAGCCGCTGAATCTCTCTCCGATTGTTGCGGGGACACACGCCGAGCCGGTATAGATGCCGCATAGCTTGTACATTATCACCCAACACCGGCTGTTTAATCACTTTTGCAGGCTGCCGTATATATACGTATTGCAGACCAGACATGGTTAAATGATCCATTTCTTTTTGTATCACATCAGGCAGGTATTGTAGTACATAGTTGATTGTAGATCTAAAGAAGATCAGTTTGGATAGTGTACGGTGAGCCTAAAGTGGAAGTAAAGTGTCCTAATTGAAAAACTGCTGACAGGCAGGATTTTTAAAGCAGAAGTGACTGTGTACGTCTCTTCTACTAAAAAAGATCCTACATGCCTGTCAGCATTTTTTTCTGTGCAGTTCAGTGCACAGACCCGGCATGCCGAGATGTAACTGCCATGTGCATATATGGGAGTTACATCATGCTGGCCGGCCAGCTAAACCAGACGCCGAAGCTGGGAGAAAGTGGTTCCGGAGGGGACAGCTCTGTGTTAGAGGGTATTCTTTAGGTAAGTGGGCTATAATGTGCTGTAGGCTGCGCATACTAGAACATGATGGCAAACACCCCCAGGGCTTATTTATTTAAATCCACTTCTGCTTTCACAAAAAAATGGGCTGTGCATAAACTAAAAAACACATCTAGCACTTCCATGCAACTTTATATCAACTGATGTAAATGTGCACTATGTGAAGCACTGAGTAAATTTCAGGCGCTATATAAATACCTGTAATAAATAATATCTCCAGGAGAAAAAACAACTAGGGTCTAGTTGCTACTAGCAGCAAAAATATGTATTATATTACTCATTAGTAAAGAGGAACTTTACCCACCAATTTAATGTCTCACAAAACAGTTATTTTATGGCGTGCCAACAGTCGAGGTTGTCACTGTGCTTATTCCAGCTCTTAACCAACTTTCAAGCCCTCAAATAGCTGATCACATGAGCAGCACCATGGCAACTGAAAATCAAAATAGAGGCTAAGATGGCACCTTCCTTTGCTGTAATGAATACGAGGTTGTAGTCCCCCTTTAAGAAACATGCAATAACTCCTACAGGACACTGCCAAGTGGCTGCAATACATTTCACATCACTGCTGTTTAGATAAACAGTGCCCTGGCTGCCTTGTAGAATACTCCAGTTCTCATTGACCACCTAATAGGACCATAAAACAGCATGTAGTACGCCTTCACATCGCCTGGAAAGATAAGATTCCTAATATACCTGCCCCAGTTCCCTTCACACTGCAGGTAGATGAACCATCTCTGATCCACGTGACCCATACACAGTGCTTGGACGCTGGTTGATGCCGTCACTGGGGTCTGACATGTGGGAGGGAGCATACCCCGTCTGCTGCTGCAGCAGCACAGTTCGCAGGCTGCCATACCTCCTTATATCCAGCAGGGGGCAAAAGAGAAGTGTTATTCATCTGCTGCTATGAACTGCCTCCTGGGTTACAGCTCTCTGGAACCCGACTGTCCGTTCTCAATAAAATCACAGCGCCTCTACAAAGATGGCGACTGCAGCTGTCTAAAGTGTGTAAAGTTTTGTTGAAGTGTGGCAGTCCGTAGTAATGATGGCGGCGGTAGACGTGGAAGAAGAGAGTGTCTTGGCCTCGGTGTTTCGTAGCAGCTTTCCGGACAGCTGGCGGGACAGCCCAGACTTCGCTGCCTACCTGCTGGAGCTCAGCTCCTTCGGGGTAGACAAGCTACGAAGGGAGCCGGAGCGGCTGAGCGAGGAGCGGGCGCAGATCCTGCAGCAGACCCGGGAGCTGGCCTTCACCCACTACAAGACCTTCATCCGCACTGCCGACTGCACCGAGCTCATCTACCGGGACTTCGGACAGGTGGAGGACAATGTGTCCCGACTACTGGCCAAGCTGCCCGGCTTCCAAGAGACCTGCAGGTACCTTGTCCCTCCATCACCACCATGTCATCTCCATCTTCCTACTCCCCATACCCCTGTCACCTCCATCTTCCTACTGCCTGACATCCAGGAGATCTGCAGGACACCACCATATCACTGACCACATACCCCCTGTCATCTCCATCCTCCTACTGCCTGACGTCCAGGAGATCTGCAGCACACCTCCATCACCATCCTATCACTGACCACATACCCCCATGTCATCTCCATCCTCCTACAGCCTGACTTCCCAGAGATATGCAGCACACCTCCATCACCATCCTATCACTGACCACATACCCCCATGTCATCTCCATCCTCCTACTGCCTGACGTCCAGGAGATATGCAGGACACCTCCATCACCACCATATCACTGACCACATACCCCCATGTCATCTCCATCCTCCTACTGCCTGACGTCCAGGAGATATGCAGCACACCTCCATCACCATCCTATCACTGACCACATACCCCCATGTCATCTCCATCCTCCTACTGCCAGATTTCCCTTCGATCTGCATGTACCTTGTCCTCCATTACCACCATATCCCTGTCCTCCAGAGACCTTGCCCATCCAGTATTATTGTCTTCTTCTTATACCCCTGTACCTTTCCTGCCATCTGTATTGCCACCATGTGTGTGTCCTCCGTCCATCAGTCAGTATTGCTCCTGTTGGCAAGACTTGATTGTCAGGTTTCAGCCGTCTGTCATTTTTGCCTCTATCTCCTTGTCACCCCAGTGTGTAAATCCTGCCCCCTTCCCCCCTCTTTTTCTGTCACTGTCAATTCTGCACCCTCCTGTCTCCATTTCCTAGTCACTTCTGCTTACCTTACCTTGCTTGTTGTCTATCCTCTCCTGTCACCTGCTGTTGTCTTTAGATTCTGCTGCTTATGTATTATTCTGTATCCTCTCCTGTTACTTCTATCACTTCTGTCTTTGATTTCATTCATCCTCATTACTGTCATCCCCTGTCTTCTCTCTATTGTCACCCGCTCTCATGTTGTTGCCATTGAGATTGCACACCCCTTTTCTGTCACCCTGTGTCATGTAACAAATGTAAGTAGACTGTTGTGGTTTCAGGGGTTTTGTGAAGCAGGCGGAGGATATCAGTGCCAGTCGGCGTATGAATACACTGACTCTGAACCGACATACAGAAATTTTAGAGATCTTGGAGATCCCACAGTTAATGGACACTTGTGTACGTAATGGATATTATGAAGAGGCTCTGGAGCTCGCCGCCTATGTCAAACGCCTAGAGAAGAAACATTCCTCTATACCTGTCATCCAGGTCAGTTTCATTGATCGTCTAAAAAAGCTCAAAGCTATTCCTCTTACTCCTACACATGTGTATTCTGCAGTTGGTTTTCATGTGGAAAAAAGTTCACTGATCACTTAGCCACCAAATGGCTGCTTTAAAAGAGAACTCAAGCCAGGCCAAACCCTTATATTTTTGGCTTTAGTTCCCTTTTTGGTCACAGAAGGACATTTACTAAAATACTCCTGTGACCCAAATTCAGCATGTAGGGGCTGTTGCCTGCTATATGCTGACAGTGCAGAGCCGCACTGCAGCCGGCAAGGATCCCAATCCACCCCACTACCTGATTGACAGCTGGCTCTATTACAGTCCTATGTACAGCAAAGCACAGACTGGGAAAGGGACACACGGAACACAAGAAGCCAGTCAGTTGTGCTGTAGTGCTAACATGCCGATAGAAGGAGAAAGCAGAGTGACGGAGATTAGCTCATCCGTATGCTGCTTCTTCTTTGACTGTCCAGTCAGTAATTCTTCTGCTCTGCCAGATAGGACTTTGCTTTGTGGTAGGACTAGGTAAATCTCAGGACTGGATGGACAGAAATACAAATCCTTTGGAAAATAAAATGGCTTCCGTGTAATTATCCCCTTCAGTGACATAGCTTCAGAAATTGGGAACCGGAGCAATTTTGTCATTTTTGCTGCGTGTTTCTTTAACCATAATTTCCATGTTCCTCATGCATTCCACCTACACATATTCTTGTATACCTTTTTTTTTTAGAGGACAAAATGGGCTTTAATTCGATGTGATGTATGCATATATACTTTTTTTTCTTATAAAAAAAGTCAGAAAAATAAATGTTTTCACAGTTTTGGCAATACTAATGTGTACATAATTAGTGTAGCTAACTGAAAGTAATTCATAATAAGTTCTTATTTATCCTGATTTTATAGGGTATATCATGCCTGGGATTTAAGATTATTTTGGGAGTTATAGGTCGTGAAAAACAATTGTAGCCTTCTCGGTACTATATCTTTTTTCCTTCTTCATTTTTTTTTTTTTTTTACATGTTTAACCAGTTGACATCCGTGTTGTTATACCCCCCTTCCCATCCAGGCCATTTTTCAGTATTCAGCGCTGCTGTACTTTGACATTTATTCCGTTATGCAACGCTGTACTCAAACAAATTTTATACCATTTTTGGGGACAGATAGAGCTTTCTTTTGGTGGTATTTATTCACCACTGGGGTTTTTTATTTTTTACTATATTAAGGAAAAATTACCGAAATAAATAAAAAAAAAAAAACAGTTTCCCCTCTATTT